ACTAATAGATTAAATGAGATAATTGGATTGTACATCCAGAGTTCACGAGACGAGATTCAGAGGTTTTGTCTACGCATTCCTTTCCCACCAAATTCTGCCAAATTCTCAAACTTTCAGTAAACATCCAAGATTCCTGGGCAGAAAATCATCACTATTTCTTATTGACTTTCTATAGAATTAAACATTCATTTTTCGGCCAATTTTAGTTAATGAGATTTCTTCATATTTTATTGGATAAGACCTCTTATTTCGGCTCTGCCCACCTCAAAATTAACATTATAAAAGAGGCATTTTTAGCATTGAAACCTCAGAACCTCGTTGCGTGAACTCGGGACTAACCAAAAACTGTAAGTAACCGATTGAAATGATATTTTTGGACTTTAACTTTTCTTTAATAAATTTATATTTTAAACTATATTTGTTTTCATGTTTTGTAAAAGATAGAGAGACTCAACTTCGCCACAATTGGTGGCAGTGGTGGGATAAATTGACTAGGTTCCGCCCTGGTCAAGGCCCACATTTCTGTGGCCTTTGTATTGTCTCAATATTTTATTGCATAAGCATGAAAACATTTGAAAATTATTTAGAAAATAATCGGTGGATGGCAAACGTATTGGATTTAGTTGTAGTTTGATAATGATAAGTTAGGTAATTCGTTAATTATATAAGCATAATCTGTCAGTTTATTAAAGTAAAACCTTCGTGTTTGTGAAACAAATGGAACACTTTTGTTTTGTGGAATAACTTAGAAAGTAAGTGTTGTTTTGACTAAGAGAGTTTAGATAAATAACAATATTCCATGTTACGAGGTTATGCTGTATTAACTGACAGATTACTTTTCATCACTTTAGTATAGAAATATGACAATGTTAACTTTGCAGTAAGAATAAACATTGAGAATGTTTAGGATAATGCAAGGCTAACTGTAAAGCATCATTTTCATACATATAGATTTGGCAATTGGCTAATATTTTTGTGTTGAGATAAAACTGTTAGGAGAACAATGAAATAAGAGAATAAATATTCTTTTGAATGTTCTATGCAACCAAATGACTTTTATCAAATGAAGCGAAATATGGGATTAACCTGCTGTAATCAGAAATTCATGACACCTAATTCACTGAACAAATGAAACATCAAACCACTAAACTATCAATCCCTTTTACTTAACCATAGGATAAATGCATGGATCTATAATAACTCAAATAATTAATTTAAACCAAAACATTGCTTTACAATTGGTCAGTCATGTTTTGATCAGTAAGTCTTTAAACTATATAGACACTAATATATGTTATTTACTTCATATGATCAATGTTACATTTGTTTTATAACCAAATGATCAGAAATTTCTGAGGTTTCAAAATATAAAAACATTTTTTCACATTTTTAATTTGTCATTTTTACATTAATTTTAATCATCGTCATCAAGATATTTATTAGTTTTTATGTGTTACCAAATGTGATAAGATTTTTAACCAATTAAATGACAGAATTCTTGTTAAGATGAAAATGACAGACAATGATATATGATGAGAAACTTTGCAATGTTTTCTTTCAATGTTTATATGTTTTCATAATTGTTGGCAGAACAGTGAAAAATACAAGTTTTTTATAAATAAAGTAAAAACTCATTAGCCTTAAAGATCTTGAACATAACTAACCAAAACCTCTATATTAGTGTATAAACTTTATAAATGTATATATCTATATAATCTGTATCACATTACATTAATAACTGTGTACTTTTTAGCATGTAAATGTACATAAAAATACTTGTTTCGGACTTTAATGAACTAATAGATTAAATGAGATAATTGGATTGTACATCCAGAGTTCACGAGACGAGATTCAGAGGTTTTGTCTACGCATTCCTTTCCCACCAAATTCTGCCAAATTCTCAAACTTTCAGTAAACATCCAAGATTACTGGGCAGAAAATCATCACTATTTCTTATTGACTTTCTATAGAATTAAACATTCATTTTTCGGCCAATTTTAGTTAATGAGATTTCTTCATATTTTATTGGATAAGACCTCTTATTTCGGCTCTGCCCACCTCAAAATTAACATTATAAAAGAGGCATTTTTAGCATTGAAACCTCAGAACCTCGTTGCGTGAACTCGGGACTAACCAAAAACTGTAAGTAACCGATTGAAATGATATTTTTGGACTTTAACTTTTCTTTAATAAATTTATATTTTAAACTATATTTGTTTTCATGTTTTGTAAAAGATAGAGAGACTCAACTTCGCCACATGTACACCAGTCTGTAGGTCAGCTATGTGAACCAATACATAGACGTCAAGTAGAATACAACCAATAAGTATTACATATTTTACGTGCCATGCATATATCTTTAAGTAAAGGCTCTGGTAGTAGATCAGCTATGTGAACCAATATATAGACGTCAAGTAGAATACAACCAAAAATTATTACATATTTTACGTACCATGCACATATCTTTAAGTAAAGGCTCTGGTTGTATACCAGTCTGTAGGTCAGCTATGTGAACCAATACATAGACGTCAAGTAGAATACAACCAATAATTATTACATATTTTACGTACCATGCATATATCTTTAAGTAAAGGCTCTGGTTGTACACCAGTCTGTAGGTCAGCTATGTGAAACAATACATAGACGTCAAGTAGAATACAACCAAAAATTATTACATATTTTACGTACCATGCATATATCTTTAAGTAAAGGCTCTGGTAGTAGATCAGCTATGTGAACCAATATATAGACGTCAAGTAGAATACAACCAATAATTATTACATATTTTACGTACCATGCACATATCTTTAAGTAAAGGCTCTGGTTGTATACCAGTCTGTAGGTCAGCTATGTGAAACAATACATAGACGTCAAGTAGAATACAACCAATAATTATTACATATTTTACGTGCCATGCATATATCTTTAAGTAAAGGCTCTGGTAGTAGATCAGATATGTGAACCAATATATAGACGTCAAGTAGAATACAACCAAAAATTATTACATATTTTACGTACCATGCACATATCTTTAAGTAAAGGCTCTGGTTGTATACCAGTCTGTAGGTCAGCTATGTGAACCAATACATAGACGTCAAGTAGAATACAACCAATAATTATTACATATTTTACGTACCAGGCATATATTTCCAAGTAAGGGCTCTGGTTGTACACCAGTCTGTAGGTCAGCTATGTGAACCAATACATAGACGTCAAGTAGAATACAACCAAAAATTATTACATATTTTACGTACCATGCATATATCTTTAAGTAAAGGCTCTGGTTGTACACCAGTCTGTAGGTCAGCTATGTGAAACAATACATAGACGTCAAGTAGAATACAACCAAAAATTATTACATATTTTACGTACCATGCATATATCTTTAAGTAAAGGCTCTGGTAGTAGATCAGCTATGTGAACCAATATATAGACGTCAAGTAGAATACAACCAATAATTATTACATATTTTACGTGCCATGCATATATCTTTAAGTAAAGGCTCTGGTAGTAGATCAGATATGTGAACCAATATATAGACGTCAAGTAGAATACAACCAAAAATTATTACATATTTTACGTACCATGCACATATCTTTAAGTAAAGGCTCTGGTTGTATACCAGTCTGTAGGTCAGCTATGTGAACCAATACATAGACGTCAAGTAGAATACAACCAATAATTATTACATATTTTACGTACCAGGCATATATTTCCAAGTAAGGGCTCTGGTTGTACACCAGTCTGTAGGTCAGCTATGTGAACCAATACATAGACGTCAAGTAGAATACAACCAATAATTATTACACAGGTCATAATCGGCCATTCGTCTTTTATCATTCTAGAATATTAAATTAGCAAGTTGATGCAAGCTAAACTGTTATAGCTGATATCATTGTTATATATTGTATTGTCGGAATTCTGTTTAAGTGATAACTGTTTTTCATATATATATCAATGGTATACAATGGAATAGATGATGTACAGGGTGTCCCGAAAGTATGGGGCCCTCACTAGGCAGACATATTCCAATGTCCTCATAGTATGTGTCATATGTCATTTTAAAGCTTATTCAAAGTTACATTGATTTGCCAAGTATCATGCTTTAACTCCCAAATGGGAAAAAGTTACAGTCATTTTAAAAGTTAGTGTTTTGTCAAAATAAAGTTCAATTTTACACAACATTACTTGTCAATGTGTCCCCTCTTGGCCATGTTAACAGCAGCAATCAATTATTTTCAGATATGACCTTAAAACCCCTTCAAATAGGGGTGTGTAATTTTATAACCCTCTTAAAACCTGTTAAGGGACTTTAGAAGATGTCCATAGAGTTTCTACCCTCACCATTCTCTTTTTCCAACTCAATATCCATCCGACCCGAAAAGAATTGCTGCTGTTAAGATCGCCCGAGAGGACACATTGACTAGTGCTTTGGTGTAAAATTGAACTTAATTTTGACCAAACACTAAATTTTGAAATGCCTTTTTCCATTTGGGAGTTAAACCATGATACTTTGCAAATCAATGAAACTCTGGATAAGCTTTAAAACGATATATGACACATACGTACTAAGAGGACACTAGAATATGTCTGCCTAGGGGGGCCCCATACTTTTGGGACATCCTGTATATCAATGCTAGTAATAATTATACGTCTATAATGATACTTACACGTGTCCGTTGTGTGAAATTGTATACATGATGTATAGATATGCTAGTAGTATTCCTATGTCAGCAAATACTGAGAGTACGATAATAGCAGTCTTACTAATACGTCTATAATGATACTTACACGTGTCCGTTGTGTGAAATTGTATACATGATGTATAGATATGCTAGTAGTATTCCTATGTCAGCAAATACTGAGAGTACGATAATAGCAGTCTTACTAATACGTCTATAATGATACTTGCACGTGTCCGTTGTGTGAAATTGTATACATGATGTAGGCTATATATACACTAGCAGTATACGCCAGCAAATACAGAGAGTAATAGAAGTCTTAATAGTACGTCAATAATGATACTTACACGTGTCCTTTGTGTACGACCGCATATATGATGTATATTAACGCTAGTAGTATTCCTAGGCCAGCAAATGCAGACAGTACGATAATAGCAATCTTACTAATACGTCTACGGACAACATGCTCTATTTCAGAGTCGGTTGGTGTAATTCCACCTAAGGTGTAGAAAATGAAAAGTTAACCTCATTTCCCATAAAGTGCCACTATACTTACATACCGATAAGATACGTATACACGATGGGTCAAAACATGTCTACCTGTTTTATTTTGCATCTTTACCAATGATAAATCAGATATATATATATTCTTGATGTAGACAAATAATTAAACATAACAGGTATCGCAAGACAACTAATAAATATAGAGTGCAAATGCCAAAGGGAAAGGACCAAACACCAAAAAGCGAACTCTTAGTGTAAATCTGCCATAATTGTTACGCGGAAAATGGCATACATTCATGGTTGCGCGGTATTTGTGATACGGGTGAATATACCATACTCACCTGCGATATATGACATATTTCCGCAGTGAATATGCGATACATTGATTTCAGTGAATACCCGATAGTCACCTGCAGAATATGTCATACTCACTTGCGAAATATACCATATACAGCAGGTAAATATGACATATTCCGCAGGTAAAAACGTGACTTGGTTTGATTGGCTGCGAGAATCGACTCTAAATGTAAAACAACGCTGGATTACCAATAATTGTTAGTGCGTCGAGTACTAATATATGAATCCTGGATTGATTGGGTAAGTTTATTACATGAGATTGGTGAGTGATGTTTCTGCATATGTTGATATAAGTTTTACTTGTTCGTTCAATCGATCCAATTGACAATTGTGTACTCCCATATCACGTTCTCATTGGTTAGTGTGTATGCCATATACCGCAGGTGAATCTGTCATACACCGCAAGTGAATATGCCATATTCGTTGCGGAATATGGCATATTTTTGTATTGTGTTTACCGCGTAACAATAATTATAAGAAAAATATACCATATACGAGGGTTGTTCCAGAAGTAATGCACTATATGCTAAAACTTTCTTAAATATTATTCTTTTTAGCTGAAATGTTGTGTATATTGTAGTTGAAGTGGTAGCTGTCATATCCTGCAGTTTCAGCATCATACGCTATGTTAAGTGTTAAAATAGTTGCTATGGCAACATGGGGTGGGGAAGGATGGGGCTATTCTAATTATGAAAAGCCCTATAGTGTTATTCTATTCATATTTCTTTGTTTTAAATGAGCAAAATGGTTTGGTAAATTGTAAAAAAATTGGTATCGATAAGGTGAACTTTTTGAACACACGTTTCTCTTCAACCAGGTATAAAAAAATTCTATAAATTTTACACATCGTCAATTTAATGGTCGTCTTTTGAATGGTAACAATATAATTTGAAAAATAAATATATGTAGCCTATTTCTCTATATTGTCTTAGAAAACACATCAGACATTTCTTTTGTTCTTGGTATCATATGTTCGGAATGAAATGAAACACCTCATTGGAACAAAATGACATAAACACAACATGCTTGGGTCGCTCAATAAAATAAATACCTTGTTAATGAAACAAGAGATTTATCTTAATTTTTATCTATTTTGTTTTTTTAATTTAATTTTTTGAATACTTTTTGTCAAATCAACCAAACTTTCCTTTGTATAACTATAGTATTGAGAGGTCTAAGAAAAAGTTGCATATGCTATTTTGTTCCAACAAGGATCGGCAAGGTATTTTATTTCATTCATTGGAATTGGTAGAAAGGAACAAAGAATTGCACTAAAAAACAAAAAGTGTTAACAAAAACAGTTATATAATTTATATATAAATAATTTTCGCACGAAATTGTTGTCAATCAGTCAACATTACATAAAGGACCGTGTTTTTACAGAATATTTTCAATAATTGGTTTAAGAGAAAAACATTGCTGAATTCATTTCACCATATCGATACCAATCCTTAATTCAGCATGTTGTTCATCATGCACAAATAACGACAATTAGCATCGTGATGTCCAATAGTCGCACACTCAAATTCAGTCAGAGTCAAGAAATTGTAAAAATAGCTACAATTCTCAATCCTGATAAGAAGGCTTTGCGTTCAGCGACCTGATTTCATTTTGGACACTATGCAATATACATCAATTAAATATAGGATGTGCTCCTAGTTATTTAGTAACTTGAAACTTGAGCATATTAATTACAGCTACACTAAATGATATTTGTTGATTAATTAGTTGTCATTTTCCCCGAATCCACCAACTTGTTTTAATTGTCACATCAACATACAGGGTGGTCAAAAAAACGGCAACCCTAGTTTTTCCTAATATCTCTGTCATTCTAAGGAATACCTCCCTGATATTTTACACATTTGTACATCATTCAATTTCCTACCAACCTACCATATTTCATGACCATCGGACTGATAATCACAAGATTAATGTATTTTAAGCAACATGCCCCATAAGGCCACTTTTGGGCTGTCTGAGCTGGTCTGTTATTCAAATGAACTCCATTTCCAACTTGATGCACTGGTAAACTCTAACAATTATGTATTCTTGGGGAGCCAAGCACTTAATGAAGTAGTGGAGATGCACCTTCACACAGACATATGCACAGTTTAGTGTGTTCTCAGAAAATATGGTCCTTTACCTTTAATGATGCCAATGGATATGCAATTACTGTCAACATCAAACTCTATTTTGTGATTCCCATTGAGTTCTTGGGGACTTTAGGTGAACCCAGGGAAGTTGAAAGGCAGCAACAGTTGTTCCAACAAGACAGAACCATACCCCAAACACCCAATGATGCACAATAATGGCTTTGGGACCACTTCAATGACCACATTATCAGCAGTACAACAGACAATGAATGGGCACCCCATAGTCCAGATATGGCCCCATTTAATCTTTACCAGTGGGGATACCCCAAAGATAGAATGTAGGGTAATAACACAAGAAAGACATTTGACCTCAAAATAAAGATCACATATGTCGTTCAGGCCATACTTGCTGAGGAATGCAGTTATGTCATTGACAGGTTTGGAAAACGTGTGCAGGTTTGCCTACAGCACGATATTGGAAAACTGGGGCACCGTATTTAAAGTGCTGTAACATTACGACTATCAGTCCAATGTTCATGGATTGACACAGTCTAGTATGAAATTGAATGATGTACATGTGTGCCAAATATCAGGGCAAAATTTCTAAAAATGACAAAGATATGAGGAAAAATTAGGGTTGCCGTTTTTTTTGACCACCCTGTAGTATTATTAATTGTAGTGAAAATTCGTCAAATGCGAATAATCAGTATATCGTCAAGAATCATTGATTGAAAATTTCATGGAAAATATCAAATATTGATAAAGTTAGAGCAAATAGTGCATTACCCCTGGGACAACCTTCGTCTATACCAAAACCATGATCTAACAGAAACAATGTCTAACACCATTCTCCAATCTAGAATAAATATCACAATCCAGGACCAAACACCAGGGGCATCGCATTCACACTGAAATCGTTGCAATACATGCTGAAGAAAAATAGAAAACATTGGTAGCCAATATTCATTATATCAAGAATAGTTGTAGATACAAGTCCTCGTAGAAGATAGTGTAGTCTCAAATGATGAAATCCAGTCACAAAGTCCAGAGACAATTCAAAGGGTCAACATCAGTTTGCAAAGTCATCCCTGTGATCCATTAAAAACAATAGTTCACAATGATCATTGGGAGAAAACGATTGCTTGTTTTAAGAAAATGCTGATTCTGCTTTGAGAAAAATTTAAAAGGCTATTTTGTCAGTACAAGGAACTCTCATTAGAAATCTTATTTTTAAAGAAGGTTGATATGTACTGAATCGAACCCATACATCGTTCTTCTTAACCTTTCTCTATATTCTTTAGAACTCGTATAAATACATTCCCTAATCTTAGTGACCAAAAACTCATTAAACTCATTCTTTTGGTATTTAGAAAATGCCAATGCTATTTTTATTTGTCCAAATACCCTCCTCAAGTTTCAAATTTTATAAGAATTAGTTTAGAATGTTTTATGGATTATGACGACGGCTTTGTGAATGGATGTTGTATTGAATTGCCTATGGACGTCAAGACTGGATTTTGTGTGTCCCACATCATTTGAGACCGAATGCTCTATCTACTCTACAACTATTTTTGGTGAAATAAGTATTGAGTATCTCTTTTCTATCATTTTTTAACATGTATTGTAATGACTTGAATGAAACGTTCTTTGGTGTTCTGGTCCTGAATTGCGTTAATGGGTTTCAATTGGAAGAGGATGTGAGACATTGTTTCTCTTTAAGTTAAATAATGGTTTTGGGATACATATTTTTCTTATGACAGATCTACACTAAGAGCTTGTTTTTCTTGCTTGGTCTCTTAGAGGTTTTTGGTCTTTGGCTTTGCGCTTAGATATTTTCAAAAGATTCACACATTGCTAGGCAAGGTGTGTCCAATACCAGTCAATCAGAACACGCTATTTTGCGTTACTGCATTCCGTTATATAACCAACAATCCACCCTTTCTAGATTCTATTGAAACTAAGTTCATATTTGAGTAAAATTCCATAAATTGCATCAAAGGAAATAACAAGCTACATGCTAATGCACGACACATGTGAAGTTTTGTATTGTCATGGTGACAATTCGTGATACCGACCGACAAAAACAGAAGTTACCCTTGCAAAAGTTTTCCTTAAAAATACATTATTCTAGGTCATTTCATATTTTTAAGTGATATTGTATAAAATATTTTGAAATGTGTGAAAATAATTTAAGCCCAGACTCGATGCATCTTCCAGGCGTTGTTTCCAAAAAATAAAACTCGATGTTAGCATTTCGTTCAAATTTTGAAAATGCAACACCTTCGAGGAATGGACATTCCACAATGCATAGAGAACAGGGCTTAAATCTTTAAATGAATGGCGAAGACAACAAACGCATCTTTCTTATGAACTGGTCAATCTCGCGTCAATACAAGGGACGTAAGTGTACTGCCTTGGAACCATTTTGGTTCACAGTACTATCAACTGCCACCCCTACTCATTTAAAAAGCTCTATATATATTTATACATAATTTGTGAACTTTTAATTGATTGTACAATTAACATTTGAATATCCTCTGAAAATATTGAAATCAATGCATTTGAAAACATATATAAATGAAAATCATAAGGCTTTAATTGTATATTATAAAAGTTATTATTACGAAAACATTACCTTTTGACTTCCATATAACGTCAGCGGGTTCTGTCATCGTCAGGTTTCTCTCTCTCTTATTAAAAAAGCCGATATTGGACAATGTCGCGTTGGCTGTAAGTATGAACATACGAGTATGCTTCAAGGTACTGAAAAGATGTTACTATTAGAGAAACGTTAAAAACTATAAGCCGCAACATGGTGACCGATACGGTACATTCACGGTTTCATATTTTGCAAAAATAAAATGTATACAAGGTAGGTATAATTGACATACCGTCCAATATCCCAACGTAGCTGTCAGTCTGTCTTACTCCAGACGTTTTGTTGTAATAATAAAGACCCTGAAATAGAAAATGCACTATTTTGTTTTCAACCTAACTTAGGTTGCAACACTACAAAATGGACTGTAGTTTATATTAAAGAATAAACAACCGTAACAAAGATGCGTTGATTTTATTTTCCAACCTACATACCCCAAATTCTGCAGTTATATAGTGCCAGGGGTTCTTAATAATAATATAATGTAACAAGTCCTTCAACTTGAATTATATTTCATCTAAAAGAGAAGTTCAATTGGTCCGCCACCCTATTTGATGATCTATTTTAGTTTTAGTCGCCTTGCTGATATAGCAGTATCAATGAAATGTTAGCTAAGTTTTTTTCAACCTGTCTTAATTGCCAGCTTTAGTTGAGCAATTTTCTAGATTGGATGCCTTCATACAATCTCCTGGAGACCCTTCCATACCCTATATTCACTGTGGTTTGCATTAGGGCTATTAGCTTGGCGGTCATCAGGCCATATCAGTTCAGGAACATTTTGAAAATTATGCTTATTTCTCATGGCACACCACATATTTAAGTGAGACGATGGTGTCATATTTTGTTCAAATAAAATAGTATAATTCATTATCAATGGCTAGATAACAACCTCAAGTTTCATTTGGTATGCAAATTCTCATTTGATATCAAAAATCAAAAAAGTTATAGCATTTTGAAAAAAGTGGCGTTTTTTGGCCCACCCTGTACAAGATATCCAAATTATTGTGCACAAAAGACGATTGCTCAATTTTTACTGCTGGACTGTCACATCTGATACCTGTAGCGCGCCAGGGTTGAATAAACCTCACTCACTTAATCACAACTACCATTGCACTGATGCTGAACTCACTCACTCACTTACATGTATCAACCGACTTACTCTTAGTTGAAGAGACAATTTCCAGATTTGATCATGAACCATTTACCTTTCACAAGAGTCTGTGCGTGGTTTATTGTCCGCTGCTATTATTTTCATTTAAACGCCAAGGCAAATTGTTTATCTTCAACGTAATGCAACTAATGGGTCAATAAATTGGTTTTTAATTACAAATAAAATATCTTACCGACACTCCGTCAAACTCCTCTTCAAGAAGATTTTTGTATAGTGATTCTAGTAACGTTTTGTTCTCGTTACTGTTGTGCTTATAATTCTTTACTTCGTCTATGCCATACTTCTGAATAGTTGTATTGATCGCCAATGCTATTGCCCACATGTTGTCATATAACAGAGCCTGGTAATGTCTTGCTGTAGAGGGGGTGGTTGGCTTTAGAATATGTGCCAAATCATCATATGTCTACAAAATGTGTACCAAATTATATGTCTACTAAATGCTTATATCAACATTAAAAAATCTCGCAATTCAGGTTTTCTTTAAAAAAAATTGGGATCATTCTATGAGGCAACTAATTTATTTATAAAAATATTTGAGAAAATTCACCGTCCAGATTATGAGAAAAAATAAATGTTTTAATTAAAATTATTAATCATGTTATTCCATTGAATATAATGACTAAATCTGCCATTTAAAAGGTCTAAAACTAATAAATATAATTCTAATATGATATGTGACGTCACACTAGCTAGAACAATTGATTTACTGGTCTATATTGGAGTATGTATGACCAAAATTCATAAATGCAAAAAATCGTGTTTCTTGTCTGTTTATCATATTAGAATCGTAACAAAGACCTCGATTTTATGATTTATGTCAAATATATGACCTCAAAATTTATTCTGGCCACTGCCAAAGACCTCAATCGCTACGCGATTTCGGTCTTTTAACAATGAACAGAATAAAATTTTCGGTCATATATTACGCCATAAATTATAAAATCTCGGTCTTTATTCCTTAAGTATATGTCATATTTAAAGTATAAAAAATACATAGTGGTTCCAAAAGGATTAAAATAAAAACTAACAATAAAATAAAAAAAATTCATTGTGGGAGTCGTCCCCTAATCCCCCCACCTCTTAGCCAAGCATGATTCCCCAAAGCCTATGGGGAAAGTGATAAATGTGAGGGTTATTTTTTGGTCTATATACGATATTGTTTCACGTCCATCTAGAGCTAAGACGAGTGCAGGATTTAGGATGCGCAAACTGATTGCGCAATAGTCAGTGAAGGAATACCTTAAGGTTCATTCAAGGGCGAACGTAATATTTGGAACGTGCCTCTTTTGCAATTTAATCTAATCAGTGTTCGGCTTTTTACCGTATACTGTTCTATCAAACAATGCAATGAACGGGTGCACGAAGTATATATATTCTGATTAACTATGTCAGCCCAAGCCTATGGACCCTATGATGACTTAGAGCTGAATATGTCAGCAAATGTCAGTAAAATCGAATTATTCTTATAATTTAATAGTACATGGTATGAAATTCCTAGGACGCGTAATAAAGGAGCTGGTTATGCCGGTAAAACAATGGAGATCGCTCATTTGCATAATCACGTGACCTTGTGTTTGCCATAGACTGTTATGGGGACTACGTAAGCAGCGTAACACAGATAAGCAAAAAACACAATCGCTTAAATTACATTTCCCTGTTTATTCTGTCTGTATTAACCCGTATTTACATGCCATGTATTAAAATTAATCAATTATGCAGCTATAAATGATGTAGCTATCATCAAACAAAACTACGCAACATAGGTCAATAAACTCCAACAATGTCCTTTTCACGTAGTAAAACTTGAGGATTTTCCAGCTTCATCAACGTTTTGAAATGCTCTCAATATCCCGTCATTAAAACATCTGCTGCCGTCAACTTCCAGTCAAAGAATCTCGAAAAGCACACTGTAGATCCTCGCACTTCAACGTCATAAACGGAATTCTCATATGCGGCTGATATCACCCCACAAATGAATAAACACAACAGGCCCACGCGTCTCGAACTCCCAACTTCATGGCTACGGTACCCATATAACTCGCTGGAATGTGCAGGCGCTCATGAACTGTCGGTCAACTCGACAAACTCCAAAAAAGTTTGTTTTCCTAGTTTTCTACACATCCACACATTGCTCAATGATATGCTGCGAAAAATCCTCTGATTTGCTAAACTGGTTTGTTAATCATATAACACAGTGTAGTCTGGATAATTACCATAGCAATGTCTGAACCCCGAATACAGGCACCGTTTTTCTTTTTCTACTGTTCCTACCTTGCCAACATCCAAGTTCACATACAGGTTGACAACAAGATACAATTGTTGTCAAGGGAATCTCCAATTAACAAAGAACAATGTGCCTTTTCAAGCTTACTCTTACTCCCAGGCCTTAAGTTACACTTACGCCTAGGTTACCATAACATTGTAAAGCCGCAACTCAACTCATAAAATGATTCAACTGACTCCAAAGACAAAAAAAATTGCTCATACATAACATTAACAATTTAAGTGATGCAACATTTCAAAATTGACTAATAGTCAATACAATAGGATTACTGATGACACAATATTCATGGTCGATTGAAAAAATCAAATCATAAAAAAAAACATTATCCAAAATACTAAAATAATAGATTTATACACTTTACCTTATTCGTTGAAAAATGCCTGTGACCGGTGAATATTCCAAGGGTGGTCGAAACAAATTGAGAACAAACAATAGCTCCTTCAAGAACTTCTAAAGCTTGACTTGAATTGCACCCGTGGTTAGCCTTATCTATGAGGTCTAAGGTTGTGAAAGGGTAGTAGAAGGCCAATAACACGTGATGTCGTCCGTACAGTCCAAGTTCATGAAGCTTAATACAATAATCATATTACTAATATTAGGTAAACATAAAGCATTGTAACATACACTTAAAGATTACACTCTTAAAAAATATTACTTGGATTTCCTTATATTGAGAACTTACTAAAATTACTTAAATAAAATTACTTAAATAATCTTGAACTACTGAACAATTTTTAAATAATTCAAAGTAATTACAAGTAATTATAAGTAATTTAAAACAATGATATATATATTAATTAAAACAAAATTAAAATGACTTCACAGGCACTCTGAATTTATGGTGAATTTACTAATGCAAGGAGAGAAATTGAAATACTTACTGTAGTAATTGTAATACTCATTTACATAATAAAGCAATTAAAAAACTCAAAATGACAATATAAGTAAAACCTAAGTAAAATTAAGTAAAACTAAGTATCTTACTTTAAGTAATTTTTATACTTGGGAAATACTCAAGTAATTCATCTTTAAGAGTGTACTTGCATAGTTTGAAGATTGTTTGATCATTTAGATATTGTCTTACATGACTAAAAATTGTTTCAGAAGTTGTTTGACATGCACTTTTCTGATGTTAGTTTTTCCACAATTTTAGCATTACAAGAAATTGTAGATCAACAATCTCATTGTTGATACATTACATCCATTTGCATCCCTTTTTAGCACTAGTATATTTAATATAAACAAGTCGGGCATTTTGAAACCTTAACTCACATTATAGCTGGTTCTTCAAAAAATGCCAAAACATAGGTAAGTATTATGCAATAATAAGTGCATGTTATGTTTTAAGACTAGATGAAGCAAATTTCAGTCATTTGATATCCTTATTTTACACTACAGTTTCATTGGTATCTATTACGCCCCTCGAGTAGACTATCCAACACCAATCGATCTCTAAGTTTAAAAGAACAAACCTAAATGTACATTTTGGAAATGTTAATGTTGATTAATAGATCTCTGAATATATACTATAAAATGTCATTTATATAATTTATATAAATTATTCATACCTTGCACAGCACCTTTGCAAAGTCCACCTCCAAAAGCGCAAACGAGACAAATATCCTAAGGCCCTTTAATACAAACATACGATAATGATGTTTGCATTTTCAATTGCTTCAGAAATAAACATGTAATAATTTTATTAAATTCAGACAATATTTCCTCACAAATCCTCTTGGCAAGACCGTTAAATTATAATTGTGAGAGGATGGTAAATGATAAAAAACGATTCAAAAGTAACTTTCTACAGTTGTAATTTTACTTAGATATTGTAAGATTTTTGTTATATTCGACTTTACCTTCAATGGTTCCCAAATAACATCGGGTACGTCGTGTGATTCGCTTTCGAACAAAACGTCAGCATATGATTCTATATTTCGGTCAGCTAGTTTCTCCCTGAACACACTAGCGGCCTTGTGATAAAGAATATAAATATGAATATATGAAGTAGCTGAAAAGCCTGTTTGAATCAGTTACTGATGCTATGTATATATCCTTGTCAATCAATTTTTACTTGAGCATTTTTTATAATTGGATCTTTTTGCTCTTGTGTTTCTTAAGAGGGCTATAATACAAAAGTTCAACTATGATAATACGTTCATACGCTTATAATGTAAATCTGTATTGAGATGGTATACGTCTCTGATTAGTCAAAATCGACAAACAAAATGGCGGACTCAAACTTTTCGAAACACGCTTCGAATAATATTATGTCAATTTAATTTTTATGATAGCTTGTTATTTCACATCAAGATGAAGAAGGTGTAAGGAATCGAAGGTGGTACGCAAGAGACATAATTTTGTAATTATATATAGTAGTACATTCTAAGTAGTAGAAGAAAGCTCTAAGGAGATTTTTCTATTCTAAGAATATGTTGGCGAGGGGAGTACAGAATTCTAGATGTGACGAATAGCAGGTATTAATTGCGGTTATGACGTGCACGGACCTGGGGACAATTCGGGAAATGCGGGCTAATCTCAGCTTTAAGTGTTAATATCTGCCTTATTTAAAAAGCTAACTATGTGCATTATATATCATTTTGAAGTATTTTTTATTCGCATTTCACTTAAATTATTTTTCCATGAAAAGTGTGATGCGATCTACCATATTTTCGAAGTTAAATGTACTCCGACATCGTCAAATACGCTGTAAGGCGTAACATTTCACGCTTACACGGTTCGTTGAAATCGGAATAACTTTTGAAATACTGATCAGAATTTTACTAAAATTTCACATTTTATTCATTGAAACATGTGCTTTTATGACGTCATAATTGCCTAGCGGTTACAGTTCAAATCGTCTTATATGAACGCTTTTAAGATTTTCAAAATTGTGTAAGGTTTTGAAGGCGAAGGAGACAAGCAATAAGTTTACCTTTATTTAACCTTCTAATTTAGGTCTGATTTCAAAAAAAATTTAACTGCACAATATTGTCATGGCGAAATTTACAAAACGTTAACCGATTTCTTTATTTTTCAAATAATAAGAGAAAAAGAGTTGCTTTTAGAGACTTGAAAAAATGTAACGCATCGATTTTTTACCACAAATTCCATACATATCAATTTTTACTAACGCCCCGAGTGGATTTCCTGACCGTTTTTCAAAAATCAAAAACATTTTAGAAATATTGTCCTCGAGATCTTGTTGCTCTGTGAATTTTACCAGGATTGAATAAGAATAAAGCATCTTATTTTTAGGTTGACTAAACTTGACAAAATGTAACGCTTGTCGTTTTTGACGTTATAATGCTGATTGCGCCCTATACTGCCCATTGTATTGTTTTGGTATTTTGACGCCATAATGTTACTCTAATTGTCCCCAGTTTCGTGCGACGTGTAGGTGCAAGTCAAAATTGCAGACGAAATTTACACGAATTTGTGACGAGAAAAAACGTGAACTGAATTTTTTTTTCAAATGAGAAATCAATACTAAACGGGTATCACTTCAAAGCGATTCACAATGTCAAATGCCATGGAAATAACAGAAATGACGGACATTGATATAAAGTGAATATAGAAGTTGGGCATTAAAAACATGCAAACTGTACACGAATTCAACGGAATTAATAGAAGTTGACAGACAGTGATATACAGGGTGTTTCATATTGACCCCCCCCCCCCCCATCAACAGTCAATCCTAAATAGCATAACATATGTTATATATCATATGGAAGCTTGTTCAATTCTGGACTTATTTAGATAACTTTTAATAAGTTTATATGTCTCTATAACTTGTTTTATACCTCTACGACAGGTCCCCAATATGCTTAGAATCTATTAGGAATGGTACCCACAAATCACACAAACCAAGGGCAAAATGACTGATTGACAGCAATTTAATGCTAAAATAATTGTGTTAACATTTTTTGTTTTTAGTGCAATTTTTGTTACTTTCTACCAATTCTTGAGAATGAAATAAAATATCTTTCCGAATCTTGTTGGAACAAAATAGCATATACAGCTTTTTCTTAGACCTCTCGATACAATAGTTATATAAAGGAATGTTTGGTTGATTTGACAAAAAGTATTCAAAAAATTATATTAAAAAACCAAAATAGATAAAAAATTAAGATAAACCTTTTATTTCATTATCAAAGTATTTTTCTTAATCAACCAAACTATCCTTTGTACAATTAATATATTGAGCGGCCTAAGCATGTTGTGTTAATGTCATTTTGTTACAATGAGGTTGGGATGGGTGTATCATTTCATTACGAACATATGATATGATATTTTGAGTTGACTGGTTTAAGAGAATCATGTATTAAAAGAGTTCACCATATCGATACCCATCCTTTACAAATTATGTTCCCATTGACCAGTTATGCTAAAATTTGGCACATAAGCCCAGAATTGAATAACCTTTATTATGGTATAAAGATTATGGGGCCACGTTATCTAGGATTGGTTATGGATGGGGGACGGTCATTGTGATGCACCCTGTAGAGTTAATATAGGAAGTGGGCATTAAGAATATATAAGCGTAGATGCCAAAGAAACTTTAAAGAAACCCAACAAAAAAGCAAACTGTAAGTGTGAATCTGTCATAAGAAAAGTAGACCCTATATATCCCAAATCCATGATCTAACGTGGAAAGAAACAATTTCTAACATCACCCTCCCCTCCAATCGAGAACAAATATGCAAACTTGAAAACTATACACTATCGTTTGAATGATTTTTATACGTTTATACGTTTTTATGTGTTCTTATTTTCAGTCACCAAGTTACCTCTACTTACCTTCACTTCAAGGGAGAATCAGATATATAGTTTCTTCCTAGATTTATCTATCTCTTGAATAAATATTGAGAGATGAATTCCTACTTCGACTTCTTGTTTACTTGAAAACCTTAAACTTTATATTGATAATCAAGGATTAAAAACCGTCGTGAAAATACGTTAGAATATGATCATTCAAAGTGTCGAATGTTCACGCCTTTTTAGTAGCTTCGTATTAGATCATAATATTACATACGGGGTGACACAAACATGGCACCCGCCTTACGTTGCATAACTTGTTTGTCGATTAACATTTGACTTGTCATTTAGCACCTATAAAGAAGACATGCGAGGGCACCTCGAGAAATTTCAGATGTGTAGCTCAAGTTTGTCAAATTTAATGAGTGTTACAGCATTTGCTCTAAATGTTGTCCATTTCTTTGCAGACACAAAAATGCCAACCAGCTTTTGCAACATAACTTGTAAATACTAATGATTTTGAATTGTACTTTCCGGAAAATGAAGTCCATTCAATTAAAATAATGTAGTTGTCAATGATAAAATCTTATTTCCAAAATTATGTTACAAAACGTGTGTGTATTTTTTGTAAGATGTGCCAGTAAAGGAGTATACGACAAAGGAGTGGTATCGATATGGTGAACGTTTTGAACACGCATTTTTCTTAAACCAGTCTTCAAAACATTCTGAAAAGTTTACACATCGTCAATGTAATGGTCATCTTTAGGATGGTAACATAATAATTTGAATTATATATATATATATTTTTTTTTTTCTCTATATTGTTTTAGAAAACACTCCTTTCGTTCTTGGTATCATATGTTCGGAATGAAATGAAACATATATCTGAACCTCATTTGAACAAAACGACATAAACACAATAGGTCTCTCAATATTGTAATTGTACAAAGGAAAGTTTGGTTGATTTTAAAAAAGTATCTTGTTAATGAAATAAAAGGTTTATCTTAATTTTTATATATTTTCGGGGTTTTGTTTTTTGATACTTTTTGTTAAATCAACCAAAATTTCTTTGTAAAACTATAATATTGAGAGGTCTTAGATATGTTGTAAATGCTATTTTGTTGCAACAAGGTTCGGAAAGACATTTTATTTCATTCTGAAGAAATGGTAAAAAGGAACAAAAAAACATTGCACTAAAAATCAAAAAATGTTAACAAAAACAGTTATATAAGATAGATGTACATATTTTTTGAATTAAATTGTTGCTAATCAGTCAACATTACATAAAGGACCGTTTTTTCAGAATGTTTTCAATGATTGGTTTAACGAAAACATTGAATTCAGTTCACCATATCGATACCTTTCTTTTTAACGCTCATAAATGTGCATCTAGGTGAGCTAGGTATCTGAAACTTCTCGTGGAGTTGCAAAACAGAGTGTTGTTTCATACTGTGAAACACGAGTCATAATTTTTGTCAGACAAAAAGTTATGAAAAATGTACTTCCGACGAATATCATTCAGGAACACGATTGACATCGTCATTGCACGTGCCGACTGCTGACTCATTTTCTCTAGCTTTCAAAATTGAAAAACAAATTGAGTAACCATTGATGCTAGAACAAACGACCTGCCCAGATACATTGTCCAAATAAGTGATTACACAGAGGGGTGATACATCCATGGTATTAAATGCGATGCAAGTGATTACTATCATTTTTTCTATTGCAGTCTACTTACATTTGGCATTATGTCATTATTGGCTGTTATTATTCCTATCTTCTCCCACTTAAAATGCTGTATAATCGCATCGAAAACCAAAGAAACATCAGAGTTCTCAGCAACTGCCTTGGTGTAGTATTTAAACGTTTGGGCGTCAAAGTCAGATTGCATACTAACCGAATTCTGGAAAGGTGTAAACCAATGTTACGACATTTGACATACAGTACCTTTTTAGATTTTAATACACCCCTCAAAAGTTTTGAATGGCCTATAACATGGTACCCTTACTTTTACTCTGCCTCTTCAACTAATGTAATGCCATGGGGTGTGGGGGGGGGGGGTCATCTGACCACCTGTCAATTAGTGTCATGAAATGTACGTTGTACACATTAGGGTTATAAGTACTATTGGTACATGTGTAAATAGAATTTTAATTATTGCTTTATATCCAAAGAACATGTGTAAGTTTCTATAGATTTATTATCTAAAATATAACATATTTACAAAACTTTTTGCATGGGAAGATGGCTATCTATCAATAAAAAGGTTGGGTAATTGTATACAAAAGAAACGATTACGTAACTTTTGTATAATATTACGCAATAATATTACGCAATGAAAGCGTAAAATCCTGATTATGCAAACTTATATAATCGAAATCTTTGGGACAAGAATAACATTATTAATGTTATTGTTTATAAACAATCGATGTCACAACTACATTTCATTGTAGACATATGTTTTTAAAAGCTGAACATTGTATGTTCAGAGCTATGAGAAAAAAGGTGTTACGATTTGAAAGTGTAACATACCACTATACAGCCCCACACAGCGCAAACTGGTATCGTTGTGTCGTCGTCAATCCAAGAGTCCAATATAAACGGTGTATCATGCCCCTTGTAGATATAATCCCACAATTTTGTGTTCACGCCCACCACAGAGTCGTTCTAAATTACAAAATGTTCATTCATTTCACATTTATTCTAACATTTTGCGTAAAAGTTGTGACGTTGTCTGCATAGATTTTCTTTGCGTCTCGGTGATGCAGTAATCGAAGTTTTTCGTAAGATCCGCCTAGCAGGGTATGGCTGGAAGTCTGGACCAATGACTCGTCATGATTTTAATGCTGTCAAAAACGATTTTATACGCAGTTAAAAATAACTTTGTACGCCGTCAAAAACGATTTTTACGCCGTTGAAAATTATTTTGAATGCCCTCATTCATTTTGAACAATGAATCAAACTACTGTCATTTCAAAACGATTGTAACGCAGGTTTTGATTGGATGCCAGCTAAGACGTTATTTATATGTCACATACATTTCTTGACGCCGTTCTAAATCGTTTTTGAAGAAGGAGGTACGGATTCTGGATACCTGCTTAGGAGGATGGTAAAGTCTTGTCTACTCATTTTTAGGATAACCCTTTGACGGGATCACCCATTGGTAGGAACATGTTGTACACATTTGTGTTCTTGTTTAGAAATGCATAGATGATAATAAAAATTTAGTGGGATATGCAAAAATTGATTCTACAACTGTTCACAACAGAGTGTAATAAATAATCAGGGGTTCTTAAAACGGTTAAAATACACTAGCCTAGTAGGGGTCTATTTGAAAAAGTCCAAATTTCAGGATGTAATTCAAAGGTCATGTCTCAAAATAAGTATGTGATATCGTTATATTATTCAGACTGTCAGAGAAACACATGGACTATGGTGTTCAGTATATTCTGATATATTTAACAGGCTTAATTGGAATAGGCATTAGAAGTAGGTAAAAAGAAAGAATATATTCTGGATTTTGATTCCCTGTGATCGGAGGATGAGACTTTACCGACACAATTTGAGGACAGAAAATCCAAAATGGCCACCTTAGAATTTACCAAGTATGCCCAAAAATTAGTTGGTTCTAGATTTTCATACTAAGAACAACCCCTGAAAATGTGAAATTGATCCGTCAAACAGTTAACCAGAAAACATGTAAACAAGACTTTACAGACAAGATTTTAGGATTGAAAATCCAAAATGGCTGCCTTGACATTCACCAAGAATGTCAAAAAACTAATCAATTCTAGATTTACATACTAAGAATCATCCCTGAAAATTCGAAATTGATCTATCAAACGGTTCACCTGAAAACGCGTAGACAAGACTTTACAGACAAGATTTTAGGACGGAAATCCAAAATGGCTGCCTTGACATTTACCCAGACTGCCAAAAATCTAATCAAATTTAGATTTACATACTAAGAATCATCCCTGAAAATTCGAAATTGATCTATCAAACGGTTCACCTAAAAACGTGTACACAAGACTTTACAGACATGATATTAAGACGGAAAATCCAAAATGGCTGCCTTAACAATTATCCAGAATGTCAAAAAACTAATCAGATCTAGATTCTATACTCAGAATCATCTCTGAAAATTTGAAATTGATCTACCAAACGGTTCACCTGGAAATGCGTAGACAAGACTTTACAGACAAAGATTTTAGGACAGAAAATCCAAAATGGCTGCCTTGACATTTACCAAGAACGCCAAAAAACTAATCAGATCTAGATTATCATACTAAGAGTAATCCCTGAAAATTTGAAATTGATCTACCAAACGGTTCACCTGAAAACGCGTAGACAAGACTTTACAGACAAGATTTTAGGACGGAAAAATCAAAAATGGCCGACAATAAAACAGTACCTATGAGTTTTTACTGATTGCCTTTTACAAAATTATCACATATAGCTACTGTTAACAATAACGTAGCTTTTACAACAAAGTACACCTAAAATTATTTATAAAGCTTCTAAATAGTTAAAGTATGAAAACTCAAAAACACCTTTCAATATGATACAAAGTATTATCGCGCTAACTTTTCTTAAGACATTCAAAATGGCTGACATGACTGAGCTTACAGGTCCAAAACCTAATCAGATGTAGAATGAAGTGAGCTGAACAAGATAATAAAGTTTTAAAAGCAACTGTGAAGCCGTTTTTCTTAAAGTTTGCAGACAAGGATTTTAGCATTTGACTTCAAAATGGCCGACAGGTAGTAGGTATCAAGTTAAATTTGTTCATCCACATCTGTATGCACTCATAAGTTATCCCTGAAAATTTGAAGGTGATATATGTAGCATAAAATATAGTTCTTTCAATAATGCATGCTTAATTTGCATAACGTGAGAAGACTTTATTTTTTTATAAATGTCTTTGATCATATACAATATCAATGTAAGTTTCACGAGTTTAACCATTCGCCCATTTGTCAATCATTATTGGTTATATATATCAATAAGCATTATAAGGATTGGTTTGGTGAAAACATCATATCATCATCAGTTCCCTGTTTATCAAGCTTATCAGTACTAGTACCATATTTTTAGGAAGCTTGTATCAGAGCACTTTCACAAAGTGTAAACTTTCATGTTTTCATGTATTGTGGTGAAGACAAATTGTAACGAGAGGGCACTTATAACTTGTAACTTAACATTTGACAGACTTTTTTTATCAGATTTCTCAACTTGGTCAAGTCAAGTAACTTAGTCAACATTCGATATTCGTATGTTCATCAATATTTCCCATGAATGGTGCCACAATTGAAGCAAACCTCTGGTCAATTATTTTCAATAAACCTATTAGCAAACGTGTAAATGATGATTTTGATGTTATGTTACATATTGATGAAGCAATCTTGGCGATATGGCCTAAATTTCTGAATTTCCACTATGTCCCTGTATACCCCTACTTCAAAAGATGTATGTTATTTGTAATTTTTTATTATGATCCAACCATAAATGGATTTTTTGTTGTTTACATACAGCATGAACTTTCTGTTTTGAAATATGAAAGATGGTAATGCATTTATTTTCCCATGATATGGAACAAACAAATGCGTGTCAATTTGCACTGTAATATCCTACATACTTATATTTCAAGGGTAGTTTTGAAGACAAATCAAGAAAATCCATGTTTTCAAATGGATTCATCCTTGTCAAAGATCGTAAATGAGGATATGCGGTTTGAAAAACTAACAACATGTTACAAGTTCTTATAATTTCTTGGTTAAAACAAATATTTTGAAAGTTGTGATTTCGAATGTAATATCCAACTCAATGAAAGGAGCATGTAAGATATGACAAGCCATTTTCAAAGGGCTATATCTTTAGTTCGAAAAATAATTTAACCACAAAATCAAATGGTTCTGTTAGATCCATGTCTTATCTTCAATGAATGGCATTAGGATGATAATCAAGTTGATTAGATTATCTCTTAAGCTGTCCCTAATCCACCCATCCTCACCAATTTCCCCTAATTCTGACGCAATTTTCACCAAAAGTGCAGGCCTTTTTAATAATTTTTAATGCAAAGTTGTATTGAACTTTCAGACATGATTTAAACTGTAAAGGGGAAAAGTTAATTATGAACCTACTTTTTGGTATTTTTTCGTGATTTTTTCGGATTTTTTTCTGATATTATAAGGTGCTTCATACTTATATTATACAATTACAAAATAGAGGGCAGCTAAGTGTCATAAATAATTTGTTTGTTATACTGTTTCAAACACTCGGATAGTGACTTACTCAGTCTTATGGATTGCCTTAATCCTGTATTTTACCTTGACAATTGTTTGTGTATAAAACAGTTGTGTCATTCACGTAGAGCTATTTATATACTGAATAGTTCTTTGTAATTACATGTGCCTGGTTTTGGCTATTCAACATAGACTCTTTGTTAGGGCAGGCTGAAATGAATAAGTGTGAAAATAAAATGAATTACAGGGTAAGGAAAAAAATGTCATCCAAAGAAATGTTATTACCTCATTCATCCAGTATGAGTTGAAATCATATTTAGTTAATTCTACCATGTAAAATCTTTTTGTATTTAACCATGTTTTATGGGTAAATTCCTCAAGGTCACAATTCTATGGCCATTCTACAAATTTCAGCCTCGTCCCTTCAGGCAGACCTGCACTGGTCGGTTGAGAATGTAAGGTCACCGTCACAGAAATTGTTCTCCTACTTGTTGTAGGGGTTGACATTATCTCAGAGATAGCCCGTAGTCATGAGATGAGGCTGGCATTTTGGACCATGTTTCGTTTTATAGCCATAAAATCCAAAACTATTTGGGCAGTGTCAACTTTACATAACAATATTTGAGTTCTAAACTAATGATTTATTCATGACGTCATCTAATGTTACAATGTATCAATTACACTGTACGAAATCATTTCACAGTACATCAACTATTCCCGGGGATACTCTCACCTGTATGGAGCATTTACATATATATCAATAATATGACATCTCCCCTTTTTAAGTATGTGTGAAAACTCAAGAGTCTATCAAGCATGAATAATACAAAAGCACATTTTATAAAAACAGTTGAACAGTCTTTTGAACAGTCTTTTATATCAATGCATCACACTGCATAATATGCTGTAGTGTCAAGTCACTCTGAAGTATAATAAACATAATCGATGATTAAAATGCAACACACTGCATTATGTCAAATCATATTTCAAATGCAACACACTGCATTAAATATCAAATCATATTTCAAATGCAACACACTGCATTATATCAAATCTTAACTCTTAATCTGAAGCATGTTTATCATAACATAATGTCAATCAATTAGCATATCTGGCTGGTTTGTTAACCTCTAGTCCTGACTTTGATCTAGTCTGAATGCCTCTCTGAGTAGGTACTGTATTATGTCTGGGTGACATAGTGGTACTGAGAACAGTAAACTGTGCACTATCTTTAGTGTCACGATACACACTTGTATTGTTTTGACTATCCATAGACACATCTACAGGTTTGTGAACTAGTGGACTTGATATACCAATCTGTTCTGATGGACCCTGATTTGTGTCACTGTTATGTAAAATTGGTTTTGACTTACAAAATTTGTAAATCAGATTATCATCATTATGTGGACTTGGACTTCTGGA